AAACCTCCCATTCTTGGGGCCTCGGAATGCACGCCGCATAGCATGGGCATTCTGGAGCTGCGGCTTCACTTTGCGCCAGTCTCGAACATTTTTTTCCAATACTCCGAACTGCTTGGCAGCCTGGCAGTTGTTGGTGCTCTCGGCATATTCCACCACCATTAACTTGAACCCTGCGTCGTAACTGTGGCGCATGCCCCGGCTGAACTGAAACTTCCCAGCTATGTCGTCAGCAGAGAGGTCACAGCCTGAGAAGCCCATGGCCATGTAGAAGGGGCACCCCTCACTCCACTCAGGCAGCTCCGTGATGTCCCGGGGCAGGCGGAGGCCAAAGCTGTCCAGGTGCTGAGGCTGAGCAAACTGGGGGGTGGTATTCACGGGGCCTGCCCAATTTGGAGGCTTTACATCAGATTCTTCGTTTTCTGGGAGACAAACAGGGAGGGGTAGAAATAATGCCAGTAAGCAAAATGGTTTATTCTCTGGCTTTTTAGGGTCGAAATGCCAAGAGTACCTTAACCTGAGGTTCACCAAAAGTAGTAACGTTAATAACAGATAACATTTCCTAAGTCTTAACCCATGTGCCAACTTACATTGATTACCTCATCTAATTCTCACAATAACTGTGGGTTATCACTGGTCCTTCTTTGCAGATGAGGAAAGTGAGGAGACAGAGGTTAAATAAAGCAGTAAGACAGCCAAGCTAGAAAGTGGCAGAGCTGGGAACTGAACGCAGGCAACAAGCTAGGACCAAATAATTTGGGGGCTGTGTTTGGGCCAAAACATTTTTTATGTGGATGAGAATCCAAATATAATCCATATTACTACATAATATAACAGGGACTTGGATATATCCTGGCTGAATCACATCCCTTGAACCAAGAAAACGTATAGCAGAAACCACACTTAGCAAAGTTAAACTCATAAGGCAGCAAACAGGTTCTTATACACCAACATTAGAACTGTGTTTCACTGCATGTTTATATTTAGAAGGTGGTCACGGAAACTGAATGTGACTTGGGAAAATTACCATATCGCACCAAAACTAAAATGCCATCAGAGTTGTAGGATGCGTCATTATGTGCCATTAAGAAAGAAAAAACTGCCATTAATTAACTATGACATGCCATCGATTTTAAGAGGCATTCTCAATTTCAGAGATGTTAAAGTGGTGTGTGGGGGGGAGTATGTCTCTGAATCAATGAAATATGGCATTTTAAACTTTTACCAATAGAGAAAAGGCAAATAAAACTATTTTTGCTATCTGGAAGCTATGCTGTATTTATACGACTGCTACCCTCCCAACCATTTTTCTTGATAAAGGACTAAGTATTTCTAGACATATTTTCTCACAATATGTACTACAGCTGTTACTGCCTCTTCTATCCAGCATGAAATGGCCAGGAAGCCATAGTAAATAACTGAAAACATGCTTCCTCTCACTATTCCTCAGTTTGCAGCACTGTACGCTGTGCTACTGAAGGGGCCACGTTCACCCAGGATGTATGCTGGACCACATGCTGTACAGCCTTTCTCTTCATCCACACACAAGCTTGTTCATCAAGTCTTATTACCCACAGTTGACAGATGAAGAAATGGAGGCTCAGAGAGGTGAAAGAAGTTGCCTAAGGTCACACAGCATTGTAAAGAGGGAGATTTTTATTTTATTTTTAAAAGATGACTGGGTAAGGGGATCTTAACCCTTGACTTGGTGTTGTCAGCACCACACTCTCCCAAGAGAGCTAACCGGCCATCACTATATGGGATCCGAACCTGCGGCCTTGGTGTTATCAGCATCGTACTCTCCCAAGTGAGTCACAGGCCGGTCCTTAAAGAGGGAGATTTTTAAACTCCAAAGACTGGCACTGATCTTTCTGCCTCACAGCCCTGCCTCAGTCTTAAGATACTCCACAGAAATGTATACAGAAACTGAAAATCCAGCTTCATATTGCTCCCGTTTAGATGGATCCTGAACTGGCTTATTCTGAGTACCTGCCAAGGTTCCTCCTTGGAGCTGCCACTCGTCAGAACTCCGAGACTCCTCCCCCTCCA